ATAATGGCTGACTTCTGAAAGAATGCACCACCCAAAAGCGGATGTTGAAAGAATGTATCTACCAAGACAGATTGGAGGCAGAGGACTTTCCCAACTTGAGATGGCTTACAAAACAACAACAATGGCATTGAAAACCTACCTTGAAACAACAGACGATGCCCTAATGATCCTCGTTTGTCAACATGAAGCTCGCAAGAAGCTGTACTCTGTTACAAAAGAAGCTATAAGATATGCACAGGAGCTAAACATCCCAGATGTGGCAAGAATAGAGAAAGAAACAGTAACAAGCTTTGCCAAGAGGACCAGAAGGGAGGCAAAGAAATGGGCACAAAAAAGGATGAGAGAAACACGGGAGGAAAAACCGATGCATGGACAATACCCCATGAGAGTAAAAAAGCAGACGTAGAACAAGATCATACTCATCAGTGGCTACGCAGTGCAGCACTGAAGGCAGAAACTGAAGGATTGTTGATGGCAGCACAAGACCAGAGCCTGTCAACGAGATCATATCACCACAAGATCATTAAACAGACCCCATGTGTAGAATGTGCAGCCAATATGAAGAAACCATTGACCACATTCTCTCAGGCTGCCCCACTCTAGCCAGAACTGAGTACATCCACAGACATGACAGGGCAGCAAGCTTTATCCACTGGAAGATCTGCAAGCACTTCCATCTACCAGCTGCAGATAAGTGGTATGAACACCGACCACCACCGGTGACTGAAAACAACAACATCACAGTGTTGTGGGACATGCCGATCAACACAGACAGAGAAATCATGGCCAACACACCAGACATAACCATCAAAATCAAAGAAGAGAAGACCTGCCTCATGACTGACATGACCATCCCATCTGAAAAAACTGTCACCACCAAGGAGCTTGAAAAGCTATCAAAGTACAAGGACCTGGAAATAGAAGTCACAAGAATGTGGGGAATGAAGACAACAACAATACCCGTCGTAGTGGATGCACTTGGCCTCATCAAGAAGGGACTGGAAAAGATAACAAAACAGATTCCTGGAAACCCAACAGTCCAAGAAATCCAGAAGATTGTTCTTCTCGGAAGTGGCCACATCATCAGAAGGACGCTTTCCATAAACTAACCCTGAAACTGCCTTAGAAGCATGGATTGATTATGGCACTTCAGTGAAAGCATACAAATATACAAAAATTTTAATAATAATAATAATAATTATTATTATTTAAAATGAAGCTATTCTTCTAAGAAAATAGAAAAAAGACAAAAATAAGTATTTCATTTATAGTTTGCATGTAAAATGTAGGAAAAAAGGGACTAATTGTAAATTTAACATTAGATGAATATTTTTAAAATGATGAAAATATAAATATATGTAAAGAAAACTTAACTGTAGCAGAACAGAAATACAGGATTTTTCTACATTCATATGAAAAATTCTAACATTTAAAAAATAAAAAGTTTAACTTCCTGAAAGACATTTTTTAAGAGGAAGTTCCTCGTCGTTTGCAGCGCTCTCTTGTCAGCTCTTCCCAACGTCCTGCAGCTACTGTAACTGCTGCCGGAGCTAATTTACAGCATGTCATAGTGTGTGTGTGTGTGTGTGTTTGCACGCGAGCGCGCATGTGTGTGTGTGTGTGTGTGTGCGTGTGTGCATGCATGCGTGTGTGTGCGCGCGCATGCGCGTGTGTGTGTGTGTGTGTGTGTGTGTGTGCATGTGTGTGTGCATGCGTGTGTGTGTGTGTGTGTGTGTGTGTGTGCATGTGTGCGTGTATGTGTGTGCATGCGCGCGTGTGTGTGTGCATGCATGCGTGCGTGTGTGTGCATGTGTGCGTGTATGTGTGTGCATGCGCGCGTGTGTGTGCATGCATGCGTGCGTGTGTGTGCATGCATGCGTGTGCATGTGTGTGTGCGCGCACGTGCGTGCATGTGTGCGTGTATGTGTGTGCATGCGCACGTGTGTGTGTGTGTGTGTGTCTGCGTGCATGCGTGTGTGTGTGTGCGTGTGTGTGTGCATGCATGCGTGCGTGTGTGTGTGCATGCATGCTTGCCTGTGTGTGTGTGTGTGTGTGTGTGTGTCCACAGTGGTCCTGGTAATGCTGAGACTGCCGGTGAGCGACCCGGTTTATTTTTGGGTCAGTGACGGTGTGTCAATGGCCGCAGATGGGTCGGAAAGGAAAGCTCTGAGATACAAGCAGACTCTGGTCAGTGTCCTCCTCGTCTTTTCAAAGCCGTCCTTTTGTCTTCCATTTGTCCTCCTCTGTCCTTTCTGTCCCCATTCTGTCTCCTTGTCATATGTCCTCGCTCCTCCTGCACCTGAGTTGCTCATTCAGAACCATAATGTCTCTGTCAGATATAAACATGTTTAGTGTGTGTGTGTGTGTGTGTGTGTGTGTGTATGTGTGTGTGACAGAGAGAGTTCTGCTGATTGTAAAAACCAATTATTTAATCAGTAACATGGTCACATGATCAAGCAACAGGTGTTTGGACACTTTGCTCCTCCTATGTTCCTCATCTTGGCGTGCACGTGCACGTGCACACATCTCACTGTTCCTCCACCTGTTTGTTCGTCACTCTAAGCCCGTTTTAATGTGTCATGTCACAGATTTTCCATGTGCACGAGTGTGTGTGTGTGTTTGTGTGTGTCATAACTTGTTCCACACACACACACACACACACACACACACACACACACACACACACACACACACACACACACACACACACACACACACACACACACACACACACACACACACACACACACACACACACACACACACACACACACGTGTCCCTGAACATGCTTCAGCTGCTGTGGAGCGGAGCGCATCACCTGTTTTGTCCTCCGGTGACGCACCTCACTGATGTGGCCGGCGAGCACTCCGCTGTTTTTGCGGTCGGTAGATCTTTTAGAACTGCAGTTCAAAGGTAACTCATGAGGTGAATATATATGAACCCAGGTAGCAGTTTCTCTTTAGGATTGAGAGGAGATGCAGGAAGATAATAAACAGACAGGACAGAAAAATAGTCAAATAAAAAAAAGCAGAAACTACCGTTGTTAAAAGAGACGTTTAACTTAGAAACTTAGTCTAAATTTCATGACATGTTTTACAAACACAACCATTAAAATAATCTTCACCCAAAAATAAATAAATAAATAAATAAAATCACGAAAACAAATAAATTCAGAAAAATTACGTTTTTACCTCTAACGTCACTTTAATGTGAAAGTGAGTTTTCATTAATTTACAATAATTTACTAATTATCTCCCAAAGTTTCCTAAAAGTGCAAAAAAGACTGCTTTGTTGTTTAATTCTAGTTGGAATTTCTGTTTTCTCCTACAAAATAAAAGTAATTGATATTTAGTGTAGTTGGTCCATGTCTATGCCAGCAGTCATGTGGAGAGGAGGAACTCATGTGAGGAAAAGGGAGAGACGGTGTGATGGGTGTCAGGGACAATATTGAATCACACGAGAACTAAATTTAGTCCAGAGTTGTGTTTCCTCACTGCGGGGAGCCTCAAGGAAACAAATTACGCAATCAGAGGGCCCTGCAGTGAAAGCAGGAAGCAAAGGGAGTTCAGTTCAGAGGGTCGGGAAAGAAAACGGGAATATTTCTGGGATCATAAACGTGCATTCAAAGTTTCAGTCCAAATGGATCCATTGAAAAACAAGAACAAACAGAACATCCAACCTCGTTTGAGAAGGCCTTTTTTATTCTGATGTGCAAACTTAAGAGAATCTTTCATTTTAAATGAGTAATTTAGAAGATTTTTAGCTGTTTTTCTGTGTTGTTGTTTGTATTTATGTACATGTGCATAGAAACGGCTTTTATCAGGACCAATGAGCTAACACCAAACTAAACCTAGCATCATCATTTCAGAGGCTCATGAAAACAATCATTTCCAAACCTTTACACTAAAAATCATAAAAATTTATGTTTACGGATATTTAATGAGTGCAATAATTATTTATTACATAATGTGGCATGAAATAGGGATTATGTGGTAAAGGAATTATTGGAGAAAAGAATTAATGAAGTCATAAGTTTGGGATTTTAAAAAAAACGTTGCGTTTCTATCAGTTTCGCCTCGGCTGGCAGCCTGATCTTAGTTTGGGGAATCAGGGAGAAATCCTCACGACTGGAAAGAGTTACCAGCTGTTGAGATCAGAATCTAATTTTTACCGATTTTAATGTTTTTATTTCTCCAGACTTTTAAACTGACATTTTATCACATAAACCGTACAAACAGGAGCTTCTCCAGACAGCTGGGCTTGTATTGTTTGGGTCGGACATTCAGATACCGCACCGTGTGTGAGTTATGCTTCTCAAGTTTCACCGAGTAGGCTGGCATCCCTCCCTACACACACACACACACACACGTGCACACAGTGTAGTGCCGTATATTTGTGTGCATCTAAATCCACCCGTCTTTTAAGAGGTCCGTCCATAAAGCTGCTAAAGTAGAATCTGTTGAAAGGCTGTTGCGTGAATGTCAGACATGTCAGCACCACACTTCCCAGCTTGTCACTTATCCTGCTCAAGAGCCATTGTCTCCATCTGTTGTAACAGGAACACTCAGATGTCTCCACTTTGTGTATTTAGTGAACTTTCCGTAACCCTGATGAGCTGTGAACAGATGTTTTTGACATGTTCCTGCTCAGCCACACCCGATTCTAACTGCTTGATTATCTCCTCAGCCTTCATTGGGTTCTGCAGGAGCTGCTAATCACTCATGTTGATTAAATCTGCAGAGTTAACGCAGATAAACATCTAAAACCAGGGGGAATCTGGCACTCATTATGCTAGCACACATGTGTAGAGGTAGGGATGAGAAGGGGTGGTAGGGAACAGGTGTCTGTATGCAGCAGTCATCTGGCAAGAGGGGGACACTCCACACAAAACCAGTCACACACTCACTCACACACATCTAAAATTTAGTCACCAGTTAGCCTGAACAAGCATGTTTTGTACATGTGAAATTGAAACCAGAATACCTGGGGAATACCTACTTATGCATGGGGAGAACATGCAAACTCCACATATGCGGGGGGCATGCTAACTCCACTTATGTATGGAGAGTACATGCTAACTGTACTTATGCATGGGGAGAACATGCTAACTCCACATATGCAGGGGGAGAACATGCTAACTCCACATATGCAGGGGGAGAACATGCTAACTCCACATATGCATGGTGAGAACACGCTAACTCAATTTATGCATGGGGAGAACATGCTAACTCGATTTATGCATGGGAAGAACATGCTAACACCACATATGCATGGGGAGAACATGCTAACTCCAGGTATGCATGGGGAGAACATGCTAACTCCACTTATGCAGGAGGAGAACATGCTAACTCCACATATGCATGGGGAGAACATGCTAACTCCATGTATGCATGGGGAGAACATGCTAACTCAATTTATGCATGGGGAGAACATGCTAACTCCATGTATGCATGGGGAGAACATGCTAACTCAATTTAAGCATGGGAAGAACATGCTAACACCACATATGCATGGGGAGAACATGCTAACTCCAGGTATTCATGGAGAGAACATCCTAACTCCACGTATGCAAACATGCTAACTGTACTTATGCATGGGGAGAACATGCTAACTTCACGTATGCAGGGGAGAGCATGCTAACTCCACGTGTGCAGGGGAAAACATGCTAACTCCACCTATGCAGGAGGAGAACATGCTAACTCCACGTATGCAGGTGGAGAACATGCTAACTGTACTTATGCATGGGAGAACATGCTAACTCCACATGTGCAGGGGGTGACCATGCTAACTCCATGTATGCAGGGGGAGAACATGCTAACTGTACTTATGCGTGGGAGAACATGCTAACTCCACATGTGCAGGGGGTGAACATGCTAACTCCATGTATGCAGGGGGAGAACATGCTAACTCCACATGTGCAGGGGGTGAACATGCTAACTCCATGTATGCAGGGGGAGAACTTGCTAACTCCACATGTGCAGGGGGAGAACATGCTAACTCCACGTGTGCAGGGGGAGAACATGCTAACTGTACTTATGCATGGGAGAACAAGCTAACTCCACATGTGCAGGGGGAGAACATGCTAACTCCACATATGCAGGGGAGAACATGCTAACTGTACTTATGCATGGGGAGAACATGCTAACACCACATATGCATGGAGAGAGCATGCTAACTCAATTTATGCATGGGGAGAACAAGCTAACTCCACATGTGCAGGGGGAGAACATGCTAACACCACATATGCATGGAGAGAGCATGCTAACTCAATTTATGCATGGGGAAAACATGCTAACTCCACATGTGCAGGGGGAGAAAATACCAATTCCTTACATGCATGAAGAGGACATGCTCCAAGCAGATAGGCTGCCACCAGTATTTGAACCTGCAACCTCCTGACTGACAAGGCAACAGTGTCACCACCATGCAGCCCTTGTTTTCACTATTATACATTTTAACATCCAAAGATTAGGTGGATTCAATTGTGGGGAAGGAACAATCCTTTCAAAATAAAATGTCGAACTTATCTGTAAAATTCAAGCAGAAAGTTGGTAAAAAATAAAGTAAATACTCCATATCTGGAGAATTCTAGAATACTTATGTTACTCTAATTTACATGATTTTAAAATGCACCTCCTGTAGAAGACTTAAAGCTGCAATCCTCGTAAAATCTGTTTCATTGTTTATTTCCACTAAAATTAGACCTCCGACGAGTTTTACTTGAGCTTGAGTGAAGAATGCACCTGATGCAGCAAAGCTGTGATGAAAATCTGAAGTGCTGGAGGGTGATCCGTGTCTGTAGACGTGTTTGTGTGAGAGACCAGAGCAGCTCAGACATGTTTACTTGTGAAAGGGTGAGAATGAACGTCTTCCCCAGTTGTCCCAGGCAGATTTTCTGGATGTGGTCCAGAGGTGATGACTCTAGAGGCCGGATCCATTAGAGTCGCGGAGGCTCAACGTGGTTGTGTTTATTTTTAACGTAGACTTCCCCCTCCCAGAGAACTATTACGCTCAGCATTCTACCAGTTCATGTTGACGCCCGTGAATGAATGAATGATTTAATCCCTTTAGAGCTGATTGTTTAATGGAGCGGATTCCCTGATTGGCTTGCAGCTCTATGGGGAGTACCAGGAGCATCATGGAGGCTTGGGGAGGCGGGAGGCCACGCGCCTGCTGACGGAGCGCCAGATAAAAAAACACAGGATCAGGAAGCATCACGACCACGGGAGGACACGGTCCGGACGCGGTCATCACGGCAACCAGCACGGCCATCACAACAGGCCGAGGGCCGAGTTTCAGCCCAACGGGGACAATGACGTTCCTGACGAGCAAATGGTGGGAAAACATCTCACATCCTACCAGCAGAAGAAACGCTCCTACTCAAACTGCAGAGGTGAGCAGCTGGGATCCACTCTGGTGCTTTTGGAGTCCTTTCTAACTTTTTATTTGTTTTTGACAGACTGCATAGCACGGGTGCAGAGATTCCTGGTGACGAGACTCGGAGAAGACTGGATCTTCCTGGTTCTGCTGGGAATCACCATGGCTCTGGTCAGCTGGACGATGGACTACGCCAGTGCAAAGAGCCTACAAGGTGTGCCTGATGGATTTGATGGCACGATCAAAAGCATTTATTCTATATTATTTAGTTTACTCCTAGGTCTTGTTTCTGCGTTTTTACTTCTTATCAGGCTACCATTAAACTTCTGCTCACATTTGCTCATGTCCACATCTTTTTACTTTATTTCCTTTTTACCAACTCGCCTTTTTTAGCATATAAGTGGATTCACGGAGAGCTGAGGGGGAACATCCCGCTGCAGTACCTGGCCTGGGTCTCCTATCCCCTGATGTTTATCATCTTCTCCTCCCTCATCTGTCATCTGGTCGCTCCTCAGGCTATTGGTTGGTCCTTCTCTCCTGCAAAACTCTGATGATTTTTTGTGCACACTTAATTTTGATTAAGGAGATTATTTGGGTATTTACATCGAGAGCTACACTGATTTGCCCCAATTCTACGTCACTCGTCAGGAAATATTTGACAATGAAAAGATCCAACCATTGAATGTTGGTTGGGACAATTGAATGTAATTTAACCTTAATTTTAAATTTTTACTTTTAATTATTTGAAACGTTTAGAATTTTTAATGAGACAAAATGTCGTTTTTACCTTTAATTTCTGGGAATATCCATCAAAATGTTGTTGGAAATGAATGAAATGATGCCCAGTTGTTGACAAATATTGGTGGCTTTGTGACATACAGCCATAAAAATCAGGTCTAAAAAACATGGGAGCGGGTCTAAGTCACCGGGCGACGTCATATTAGATGCCATGTTTCCTTCTACGGGAGCCCATATAGGACAAAATGCATTTACTGATTTGTAACAAACAGTTACAAAACTTTGTTTTACACACTTACCTCCTCACTTGTTGCCAGTGATGAGAGGGAGTCTGATGTGCTCATTATTTTGCTAAAGTTTGCACTCCCCCGGGGCTTTTTGACCCTAATGGGCATCCGTTGGTAAGGTCTTACGCCAACACAAAAATACTGCTTCATTGCAAGGATTTAGGCATCTACTGCCCCCTATCGCCAGAAAAAATACACACTGTAGCTTAAATTTATAGTTAACATTTTAAAATATGATTTTGATTAAACTTTAATTTTATGTTTTACTTTTATTATTTTCCATTATTTAATTGATGTTTTAAATAGTCAAAAATAAAACAAAATAAATATTTTAATATATTATTTGTTATAAGTTTAAATAATTTTACTTTGCAGCTTTTTTCTTAATTTTTCTCATTTCATCATTAAAATAATTTTTAAATAAAAACTTTAGGATTAAGTAAATAAAAACGAAGCACCAAGTTCCATATTTATTAGTTTTTATTCTTTATAAAGCGTCTTTTGAATATTTTTTTCATATTCAAACAAGTTTGACATGATTTGAAATCTAAAATGTACTTAAAGCTGATTAACTGTAAAAGAGCCATATTCATGTCAAACTTGAATGTATTAATTATTCAGATTTCTCTGCGTCCCAAAGATGCTGAGAGGATGGACGTGTTTACGCCCCTCAAACAAATCAATAAATAAAACACAGATTTTCAAAAAGCTGTGCCATTTGATGCTTTGGGAAGTTTCTTAGTTGTAAGAACAGAAAGAGGCTATCCAGGTGATAATGCGCCTAACTCTTAGAAGTCCGGTTATTTGTGTCTTTTCTTTCCCTAAAAGGTTCTGGAATCCCGGAGTTGAAGACCATCCTCAGAGGAGTGGTGCTGAAGGAGTACTTAACCCTCAGAGCCTTTCTGGCTAAAGTCATCGGTCTGACTGCTGCACTGGGCAGCGGCATGCCTGTCGGTAAAGAGGTCAGCATCGTGTGTTTTTCCTGTATTCACCGTTTGGAATCATTTCCTTTTCCCGCCTCACCCCTCTCCTCCTCCAGGGCCCGTTTGTTCACATAGCGAGTATCTGTGCGGCGGTCCTCAGCCGCTTCATGTCCTTCTTTTCAGGAGCTTATCGGGTAAGTCAGGAACCCCCCCCCCCCCCCCCCCCCCCCCCCGTGCGTTTAAAAATGGGATGATAAATAACCCCCACATCTGTAACTCCTGTTGCTTCCCTGCTGCCCCCTCCCTCTCTGGATCAGTAGAACCCCTACTGTTACACAGACATCCTGACGGTGGGCTGTGCTGTCGGAGTGG